CTCTCTCTCTCTCTCTCTCTCTCTCTCTCTCTCTCTCTCTCTCTCTTTCTCTCTCTCTCTCTCTCTCCCCTCTATTCTTCTTTCTCTCCTATCTAGTTATAGGGTGTGGAAAAAGGAGGGGGGATAAATGGTAGTAAAAAGAAAAACCCACAAAATAGCAAAGATTGATTATACCCTACCTCTAAACAAAAGAATCAGTTTATCTGGAATAGTGGCACACACGTTTTCCCAGCACTGAGAGTTAAAGGTGGAAAGACTGTGAGCCAGAGGCTAGCCTAAAGTTATATAGGAGGACCCTGTCTCAGAACAGTATGAAGGAACAAGACAGCGCCAAGGATAGGGCCCTTTGACACCAAGCCTTTTTCTAAATTGGATTCCCTGTATCCACATGATAGGAGAGAAACAGTTCCCCAAAGTTGTCTTCTAGCCTCCACATGCATGCAGTGGCACGCACACACACACACACACACACACACACACACACACACGTGCACGGATACCACCACCACCAAATAAAATAGAAGAAAGAAAGGGAGAAAGAGAGAGAGACAGAGACAGAGAGAGGGCTCTAAGAGATTGAGAATCCAGAGTTTACCTGTTAGATAAAGTCTGTCAGGTAAACTTTTTTAAGCAGCGCTATGCCAGTGTCACTAAGCCACAGAGTCAAACCTTTAAATCCTATGTTGCAGGAATACCATGGTGTATCCATTATATCCTTTTATTTCAATATTACTGCAGGAGTCATATAAAAACAACACAAGCTGCAAGAACCTCCAAACATATTGTACCAAGTCGCTCTTAATAAAAGTAAGCTATATAGTCCTTGAAGTCACATAGCATATAATCTGTATCCTAATTTATTAAACGTTGGTGCTACATTGAGCTCCATAACATGCTAATGAAATATATACTTCTGTTGTTTCTTAAAACCCAAAATTAGGAATATGAAGTTTTTTTAAAAACAGGGTCTTGTACTGCATCCCATGTTGGCCTAAGATTCATGGCAACTCTTCTGCCTGCTTGTCCCAGTAGAAATAAAACAAAGGATTCAGTGTAGGTGGGGGCACATGCTTGAGCCAGCAGACTTGCCTTGGAAAGTATTTGGAGACTACAGAACACAATTCTGAAAACAAAACAACAAAAAAATGAATGATTAATTAGTGCCCCCGAGAGGCAATCAATCCATGCATCTCTGGGGGTCTTACTATGAACATTGAGACCAGTGCACTCCATTTATCACTATTACAGTTTGTACTGGTCACTGAGATAGCTCAAACTAGATGGATGTAAAAGGTTACAAACTGGAGTAGTCACTTCTCTTTTAGTAACCGAACTCATATGAATTACTTACCTCACTGTGTGACAAAAGCTAAAGGGGCTTGTTTGACCGACATTTCCTGTTTGACCAGCACTTCCCGGGCCCCGTCTATCAGAGTGAGGGGGTCCACCTCAGGAGGTTTAGGCAGCTGGACCTGCATTCACTGCATCTGCTGTCAAGAAGCAGAGAAACACCTGTGCTCAGCTTGCTTTCTGCTTTTATTCAGTCTGGGACTCCAGCCCATGAAACGGCACTGCCCACATTTAGGGTGGGTCTTCCCACTCAACAAACCTAATTTAATAATCCTAGAGATTTGTATCCCATGGTGATTCTAAATCCCATCAATATTAACCACCACAGAAACAAAAAGTTAAGACTAGATATTTAAGATTATCTTTGTGTATGCAAATGCTAAGGTATTGGGGTAACACAAAAGTCAGAACAGGGCATCAGATCTCTTGGAGCTGTTGTTATAGGTGGTTATGAGCCACCTGACATGGGTGCTGGGTAGTGAACTTGCCTGCTCTAGCTACATTCTGAATGGCCTCCCTGGCCAAGGGACTGCTGCAGGGATAAGGAGGTAATCCACTTAAGAGACACTCAGAAGGATTTTTCTAGGGTGTCTAGATGAGAAAAACTGAACAGCTGTTCTGCAACTCTGAGGAAACTGAGATATAATCAAGTAGTTACTAGAGAAGATCTACTTTCTATACCAAGAGTACTATGGCTGACTACATCGTAGTGTACTATCTCCTCGTGTGTGGAGAGTCAAGGGCACAAACTACAGGGCACAGAAAATCCATCCCAAGAAGCTCTGAGCATGCTTCCTGAGCTCTTTAGGACTTGGTTTACTTATCTGTAAAATGAGAATAAGAGAACCCGTTTATTAGCTGTGGCGGTTTGAATAGGTATGCCCTGCTATAGACTCATGTGTCTGAATGCTTGCCCATAGGGAGTGGCACTATTAGGAGCTTTGGCCTGGGTAGAGTAGGTGTGATGGTGTATCACTGTGGAGGCAGGCTTTGAGGTCTCCTATGCTCAAGCTACTCACAGTGTGGCACCCAGACTCCTTCTGTTGGATCAAGATGTACAACTCTTGGCTCCTCCAGCACCATGTCTGCTTGGACACTGCCATGCTTCCTGTCATGATGATAACAGACTAAGCCTCTGAAACTGTAAGCCAGTTCCAGTTAAATGTACTCCTTTATAAAAGTTGTCATGGTCGTGGTGTCTCTTGACAACAATGAAACCCTAATATTGAGATTTAAATAAATTAATACATGAAAAACATCAAAAACACTGTCTGGCAAAGGGAAGTGTTACATAGACATGACTAACTTGGTGATAATTGAATCAATAAATATGCATAGAATGCACTCATTCATCCATTCAACAAACATTTACTTAGTGCCTTTACTGTGGAAATCTTTCTAGAATAAGCACTCTGACCCCAATGAAAGCAAAAGGGAGGAGATGTCACCAGTGGATGGAAGCAAGGATAGTTCCTGAAAGGGGGTCATATTGAGTCTACTTTGTGTTCTCATTTTATACTCTAAAACCACAAGGTAAGGTGAATAAGCAAGCAACGTTTATAGAAGTAAACATGGCAGTGAACATGTTGTTAGGACAAACAAGGGTTGTTTCAGCTAATTCTCCAGGCCATTCTGTTCCAGGTAGCAAGAGAAGTCATGGTTGGCAAATAGGCAGTATAAGCAGTGCTTTAAGTAAATAATTAAATCAATATATCAGTATCTAATAATTGGTCTTCTTATCTTATTCTAGTTCACCTTTTCTGTGCTAACCCAATAATCATGTCTAACAGCAAAGTACTAAGTGTGAGCCACATAAGTAATTTAAATATCTGTAATAATCATATCAAGATGTAAAAGGATAACATTATTTTAATGAAGTATCTTGGTTATCTATTTTCTGGTTTTCAGGTAGTCTCATGATGCTCTTTCAGATGGCCAGAGTTCAATTCCCAGCGCTCATGCAGCAGCTCACAAACATTTGTAACTCCAGTTCCAGGGGGCCTGATGTCCTCCCTGGTCTCCATGGGCATCAACTATGCAAACGATGCACAGACATATATACAGGCCAAACACACAGACAGACAGACAGACAGACAGACACACACACACACACACACACACACACACACACACAGATTTAAGTTTAATCAATTCTTCAAAACAAGACATATTCCCACCAAATGTAAGTGAGAAAATTGTGAAAGGCTTTGCAAGTTGAGGAAAAACTTATGGGAACTGAACCAAGAAAGAGCAGTGTTTTGAACCCTGAGCCATCTCTCCAGCCCTGGATTAAAGTTTTAACAGATAGGGGACATTCTCCTTGGGAGAAAACAAGCATATAAGCAAGAATTCAGGAAAACAAAGGGTCTGTTGAGGAACTAAAAGTCAGAGAGAATAATCTAAGTGGTATCAAAAAACCTCCCACAGCCGTCTAGGGTGTTCCGTGGCAGGTGATGGCTAGAAAGGCTAATGAGCAGGAGATTGGTGAGGCTGTATTGAACTGGCAGCCAGAAGTAACACAGGTTGGAACGAAGGGAGGCTAGGGATAGATCGTTGGAAATCACTGCAATAAGACTCAGGAATAAATCTAACCAGAGGAATGAAGAGGAAGGAACTGGTCCTGAGATCCAGGATTTGCTCCTTTCCTTGTGTGGCCACTGATGCTGTCTCACTCTGTAACACCTGCTGGCCAGGAACTCGCTATGTAACTCAGACTAGCCTCAACTCACAGGACTGCAGCCTAAGCCTTCCAAAATGCTCAGATTACAAGTATCCACCACCACACCTTGTACAGGGGTACAAGGCAGATGAGGTCCCTGATCCCTTAGCAGTTTATTAAGGGAGAGTGACAACACTAAATAATCACGTTAGTAATTCCCTATTGTGATTAGGACTATGAATAAAATGACCAGAGATGAGGACTCAAGGAGAGACACTCTGAAACGATGACACTCAGGCTGACGGCTAAAGGGTGAAGGATGGGGAACAGGCAATTAGTCAGTTAAAGTGTTACAGGAAGAAAAGCTATGCGCACGTTCGGGGAAATGAAAAGACTTAGGGTGCTCACAAAGCTCTAAAAGAATTATTGCCAGAGTGTGTTTTGGGCGGGACTGTGCAGCAGGAAGCTAAAGGGGCCGTCAAGTGAACAGGTCAGGGTGTATCAGTGGACACTGAGAAGGACCTAATCTGTAAGTGCGATGGGAAATCCCTACATTATTGTGTCTAAAAGGTTTTAAGCAAAACAAAGATTTTTTTAAAATAAATAAATAAATAAATAAATAAATAAATCATTCTTATTGCAGTTTAGAAAACTGCTTAAGTTCTGGCAAAAGTATAACCAGGGATTTCGGTCAGAAGGAAATGAGAGCACAGAAAGTGAGAGACATCGTCATGGTTTAGCTCAGGACTAGAGAGGCCCTTGAGAAAAATCACTGACCCAGGTTGGGAGGAGAGCTCTGTGGGTAAAGTGATTGCTACACAGACATGAGGGCCTGAATTTAGATTCCCCAGCAGTCATGCAAAAGCCAGCCATGGTTGTACACATACATTTCAGACCTAGTTCTGGAGGATGAGACAGGCAGATGGCCAGAGCTCCCTACTCAGTCCAGCCAACTGGCCGGCTCCATGTTCTATGAGGACAATATCTCAAAAATAAGGTGGAAAACACCCAACTTCCCCTTCCTGTACTGACTACACACTCATTCCTTATACACCCCTTATACACACACACACACACACTCCATGAAGGAAAACCAATACCCCTCCTTCAGTATTTTAGCAAAAGTGAGCCTCTATAACTGGGCTAAAACAGTCTAAAATGATGTAAAGGCTGTGGATTGTCCTGTCCTATTATACAAGCTTTTGGGAGAGGAAACATTTCTTCCTCTCAAAACAACATGTATCTAGAAATCTGTCAGTTCTAGGTAGTAGAATATAGTGGGGTGTGTGTGTGTGTGTGTGTGTGTGTGTAGACAGGATGTCACCATGGAGGCCCAGGCCATACTCATGTACAGGCATATGCCACTACATCTCACTTAATGTACCTTTGTTTTTGACAGGTCTCACTATGTATCCCTAGCTGTCCTGGAACTCCCCAAATGTAGGAGGACCAGGCTGAACTCACAAAGACTGACGTGCATTTGCTTCACAAGCACCGGGACTAAATGCACGTGCCACCCTGCTCAGTTTCAAATGCCTTCTTAACTAACATTGTTAAAGCATAAGTTCCAAACTTTATTTATATTCCTTTTAAGGAAGGGGATCGGGTTCTTCCAAAAATGGCACAGACTTTGAGAACTACAAAGAAAAAGAAAGGACATTAGCTCTCTACAGTAGAAAGAACAGCTAAGCACAAAGGCCTGTTGACAGAGACTGTCATGCTTATAGCACAGAAAATCTAGGAGCTGGGGCAAGGAATTTTCTTCAGATTTACTGAATGCCCAAGACCTGCCTTCTAATGCATATGTCACTTCCACAATGCTGACAAGCAGAGAGAAGTGTCACTCTGAAGTTCATTTTATTTTTCCTAGCTGTGTCTCTAGAGCTATTTAAAATGCCACTTCTTAGCTGGGAGTGGTAATGCCTTTTTTTTTTTTTTTTTTGGTTTTCGAGATAGGGTTTCTCTGTGTAGCCCTGGCTGTCCTGGAACTCACTCTGTAGACCAGGCTAGCCTCGAACTCTCGAACTCAGAAATCCGCCTGCCTCTGCCTCCTAAGTGCTGGGATTAAAGGCGTGCGCCACCACCGCCTGGCCCAAGGGAGTGGTAATGCCTTTAGTGCCACTTGGGGGACAAGAGGCAGATGGATCTCTGAGTTCAAGGCCAGCCTGCTCTACAGAGCTAGTTCCAGGACAACCTGAGTTACACAGAGAAACAATAAAATTCCATTTCTTGAACTCATATAGATCCACCTGCCTCATGAGTACCGGTATTAAAGGCCTGGTCTATAAAGTGAGTTCCAGGGCAACCAGGGATGCACAGATCCCGTCTCAAAAACAAACAAAAACCAAAGACAAAACAAACCAACTGGGTGTAGTGAGGCAGGCCTTTAATCCCAGCGCTAGGGAGGCAACTGCAGAGACAGGCGGATCTTTGAGTTTAGGGCCAGCCTTGTCTACAATGTGAGCCCCATGCCAGGAATAGATTGCGAATCCTGTTTCAAAAAAGGAAAGCAAATAGACTCAGAGCAGAAATACTAGTTTAAAGGAAATACGGTCCAAAGGGACTTATCAGTGAGTTCACCAAAATCTGATGATTAAGTTCTTCATGTTCCAGCCATCACCTCAAGGCCTCTCCCTTCTACTCCATAAGACAGCAACACATCTGGAAAACTGAAGACTATACCACCATCAAAGTTCTTCGAGCCACCTCAGACCCGAACCCTGCGCGTTATCTACCAACTAGAAAGCGACTTCCGGTCGGTAGTGCTGCGGCTCCAAAGACTCTCAGTCAAACCGGAAACAAGTTAGAAAAAAAAAAAAAGACCCCTCAAACAATGTCACTCCTAAACGTCACATCTGGTCTCCCGACGAACACAGCTTCCACGCCAGCGGAAGTTACTTGCGTGACTGGGCGGAACATCCAGTCAGTTGTCTCCCAGCAGCCAATGGGCTCTACCCACCTCTAGCCTGTCTTCGGTCTATTAGTGGCCTGTGACGTAAAGGGCGGGGCGGGAGGCTAGGTACAGCAACAACTGGGCGTCGGGTCTTCTCTGTCGCTAGGAAGCGGGCAATCGGAGGGAAGATGGTTTACATCTCGAATGGTGAGTGAGAGCCTTACCCTGGCCGCTCCTGTCCTCACTCGCCGGGTCCGGAGCTTAAGGCGGCCTCCCCCACCGGTAGCCGGAAGGAGTGGGAAGCGGGGGGCGGTGGGACCCGAGGCGCATCCCAGAAGGTTCCTGGGTGATGCTTGGTGGCCCGGTTGGTAAAGGCAGGCCCCTGAAGCCTCCTAGTACAGCGAATTTCCGATTGTGGATTTGCGATAGTGATCCCGGGCGCGGGTATCCTTACCCGGTAATGACAGAGATGCTAATCCGGTATATACAACGCGCTTTTGTTTGGGCCACAGTAACAGCGTTCTTTGCTTAGCATGTCTTTCATCTTTGTAACTGGTGGTTTTCTATCCCTGTTTCTCGGATGCAGACTGAGACGCAGATAGATTGACTAGCTCACTCAAGATCACAAAGGCAGTATGTAACTTTGGTTAAATTGAACTCAGGTTGGCTCCAGTATTACCTACCACGCTGCCTCGATAATGCGTACAATAATGATGGCGATGGTGATGATGCAGAACTAGCAAGAATATGAAAAAAAAATCGAGATAGGGTCTCACTTTGTACTTTTGTCTGCCCTGCGACTCACTGTGTACATTTAGCTGCCCACTAACTCCCAGAGATCCTCCTGCCTCTGTCTTCGGAGTACTAGGATTAAAGGCAAGCACCACCATACCAGGCAATACAGAAGTTGTGACAGATTTTTCTCCCCTAAGAGTGTAGCTAGTCCTAAGCCCAAGGCTTTACCCAGTTTGAAAGAACTTGGGAAACAGGTCCCCAATTACTGGAAAAGAAAAAAATACAGCATGAGGTCATATCAGTGGCAGAACCATCTGCCCACCTGTGTGACTTAGGTGAAAAGCCTTAGCACATTTCTACAAGTCTGTCTTGAGTCTCTGGAAATAGGTGTGGTTGTATTTGATTCATCTGTGTATCTCCAGAGAGTAAGGCAATTAGGAGAAGTCTTTTGGCTGAGTGCACTTTGAATTTCTTGGCTTTTCAGAATTTCACCTCCTGATTACAAAGCTTTGGGATAGGTGGTTCCATGGGCATTAAAGGAAGCATCAGCATTTCATCTTAGGTTTCAAGGGCTTGAGATTGTATTATTTGTAATTGAGGTCACTAGCTTCGTACATTATTAAATAATTATATAGAGTATAACTACTGCAGAGTATATAGAGTGCTGTAATGTGTGTCATGTGAGGACTTTTTTTTTTACAAAATTTTGTAGTTGACAGATGCAACTTTATTCAGGCATCTTACTACCCTCTGAGGACATGGAATTGTGTCTAGTTCTGCCTTTAGAACTTAGGAGAGCGTGCAGAGAGCCCTGTAGAGTGATGGGTATGCATTTAGTTTTTTAGAATCACGAAGGGAAAGTTGATGGCTTTGTAAACAGCTTGCTTCACTTAGCATAGTTTAGTGTTTATCCACATGATGGCCTATCAAGATTTCCTCTCTTTGTAAAGATTGTCTGATATTCTGCAGTATGTATGTAGAGCCCGTTCACCTGTCAGAGGACATTTCAGTTTTCTGAGTCCTGTCACTATGAACATGAACATACAAGCTTGTTTATTCATGAATTTTTAAAGAGGACCAGTGGGTTGGGCAAACTGCCTACATTTCGTCTTTGTTTTCTTTTGAGGTAGCCCTGGCTGGCCTTGAACTTGAGATCTGCCTACCTCTGCTTCCAGGATGTTGGAATCAAAGGTGTCTACCAACACATGTGGCAATGTCAATTTTCCTAAAAGTGTTTAGAGAATTTTTTCCACCTGCAAGGTCTTTTGCCTGATTTTTTTAAAAGTTATTTAGATAAACAGATCTTTAAAATCAGTTATTTTAATTAAAATTCTTATACAAATAATCTATATGGTCCACTTACTGGAAAGTACTTAGGAATGGTTTGATTCCTTTTGTAAGATTTTGCAGTAATTTACAGAGACAAAATGTAGTTTGGTGGTTGCCAAGGGTTACAGGGAATACATAACAGAAAGTCGAAAGTGAATGGGTAGAATTTCATCTGGGGAAGACGACGAGGCTTTGGAAATCGGCATTGGTGAAGTTAGGCTGCACTCATACAACTGTGCACTCAAAAATAGCAAATGGTATGCAGCATCCATTTTGCCACTAAAATGTTTTGTGTGCATTTTACCAGTGAGGAGAAGAGAGAAAAGAGATCCTAGAATGGGTTCACCTAGGAGAATTACATGCTGTAAGTAGGCATCTAATGAGGGAAGCAGCTCTAGACCACAGGATTGACTTCACTCACAATGGTCTTCTGATGTTGACTGGTTTGAGATAGTGAACAAGTTAAAACCTGAACTTATTGGTTCTTGCTCCACTGATTAAATGCAATGCCAACATGTGGACTTACAGCACTTACTCAACTTCTTTTTTTTTAATCCTGTAGGTCAAGTGTTGGACAGCCGGAATCAGACCCCATGGAGATTGTCTTTCATAACAGATTTCTTCTGGGGAATAGCAGAATTCGTGGTTTTTTTGTATGTATAAAAGCATTTCATTAATTGCATTTATACTTAAGCTGATGGAATTACATGATATTATGTTGGGTGGTTATCTTTGAGAATTTCATACTCGTGTGTGTGTGTGTGTGTGTGTGTGTGTGTGTGTGTGTGTGTGTGTCCGTGTGTCCATACCCCTCATAACTTCATATCCTGGCCTCTCATTTTTATGACCCACTAAGTATAATTACTGCTGGCCACACCCCTAAAGAAAACGGACTCTCCCACCAGTAATCCTCAGCTGTCAGTAGCTCTTAGGAGTAGGGACTTGTATGGCCCCTTTACATCCAGACTCTGGTTTACTGGCTTGAGCGTGTTGAGGCAATAGCTTCGAAGTGCTATTGAGCTCTGATGAGTGCTGCATGTTTAGAAGACAGTTTTGTCCCAGTTCTCCCTGACTCCTGGCTCCTACAGTCTTTTTTCCCCTTTGCCATGCTGTTCCCTGAGCTTTTCGGTGGCAGTGTATGATAAAGATGTGCCCGCTGATGGCTGAGCATTCAGTAGACCCTTTCCCTACAGACCAGCTGTGAGGCTCTGTATCAACCATGGTCCACTGGACATAGACACTGAAGTACCTCCCAGCTGCAATTATTTAAATAGCTTTACAAGGGAAATTTAAGTATTTTTTATGATTATGAATATGGTGCTGAATGAGTGAGCTTGACTGTACCTGAACAGTTATGGTAGCCGTGTCAGCTCCTAGCCAACCTATCCATTCTTATGTGGAAATACTTAGTAGGTTTTGGCTTTTGAGACCAAGTTTTGCTATATAGCCTCATATAGCTGGTTTACTGTTGCATAGAGTCTTAAGCTGGCATAAAATTCATTGTAGTCACCCTGCCTTAGCCTCCTAAGTGTTGAAATTAAAAGAGTGTGCCACCGTTCCTAGTTCTGAACTCTTAATGAAGGGTTAGAAGTCAGTAATAGGAAAAAAGATATGGACTTCCCAGTCATTTCAAGCAGTTCTTTATTGGATGAGGGGTGGTGGTGTTTGACCTTTACATTCTGTGTTACCTAAATTACCAGTCAGTTACTAGCAGGTCTTACTTATCCTGAATTTGAGTAAATATTTGAATGTCTCATGTTTGGAAAGTTATGCATAGATGAGTCACTCCTTTCATTGAGTGATGGGCTGGCTAGTTTTATGTCAACTTGACACAAGTTAGAGTTACCTGAAAATAGGGAACCTCAATTGAGAAAATGCCCCCATAAGAGCAGGCTAGAGGCAGGCCTGTAGGATATTTTCTTAATTAGTGATTGATATGGATGGGGACACCCCTGGGTTCTATAAGAAAACAAGCTGAGCAAGCCATGGGGAGAAGAAAGCCAGCAAGCAGCACCCCTTCATTGGCCTCAGCATCAGCTCCTGCCTCCAGGTTCCTGCCCTATTTGAGTTCTTGTCCTGACATCCATCAGTGATAGACTGATTGTGGAACTGTAAGCCAAATAAACCATTTATTTCCTTGCCAGCTTGCTTTTGGTTGTGGTGTTTCATCATAGCAATCGTAACTCTAAGACAAGTATCATGTTAGTAATATCAGTTTTCATATTCAGTATAATTTAGTATATTAATAACAGTCTTCACATTGCAAGGGATGGTGAGATGAGTGTCACTGTGGAAAGTGGACATTAGAGGAAGCTACCCAAGGAGGGACAAGGCCTTAACTTAAAAGTTACCAGTGCAAAAATCTAATTATTTTTACAAATTTTACCTAATCTATATTGTTTACCGTGTTGCCTTAGTTAACACCTAAAAAGTTAGAAAACTGGACTAAGAATGGTGGCATACACTGATAATCCCAACATTCAGAATTCAGTCAGGTGGGATTCAAGACCAGCCTGGCCTATAGGCCTGCCAGGGTGTCACATATAGTAAGATCTTGTCTTTAGGGGAAAAAGAAAGAAAATTGCATTTTCTGACATTCTGAGAAGCTCTGTGCTTCTGACTATAATACCCTCATCTATTCCCTCTGAAAGGTGATGTCGGGTAGGCTATAGGCAGAGGAATTGCAAGCATGGTGAGTATAAGACACTGTTAAAAAGAGTAAGTCAGTGGGGGGTGAGGTGATGATGGTATGATACTGTAAAAATAGGTCATGTCGAAATCTAACAGGAAGGATGAAACTGACGAGGACTCTGGTTTCATGCTGTCGAGAGGAGTCACTACAGGAGCAGGTGGCTTTGGTATAGAACTTGGCACGCCCTGTTTTAGACACATGCTTATGCTAAATTTGTCCAGCTGGCATCAGGAAGTGTACACTTAAGATAATAAGTTGGGTTAGTCAGCCTCTAGTAGAGATTTGAGAACCATGGAAAATACTTGATAATGGTTTCAGAAGTGAGACTCTGTTGTCTTCCGCCCCTTTGTTTCAGTTTCAAAACTCTGCTTCAGCAAGACGTGAAGAGAAGACGAGGCTACGGGAGCTCCTCTGATTCCAGATACGACGATGGCAGAGGGTACGGAGAGCCTTCCTGCTGATGTGTTTCTTTTGTCTTCATTGTATGTTTTAGATAGAGTTAGACTTGTAGAAATTAAGAGAAAAGCTCACTTCACAAAATTAACAAGTTACTATAAAAGTCTAAGCTGCCTCTTCGGATAAACAGAGTCAAACTAGCAGAACTATAAATTTTTAAATTTTAATTTAAAAATATACCATGGGAAAGCTAAGTTAGAGGCTGAAAACAAATGGCCAACATGCAACTCCAGAGACTTGACGGTGCGGTCTAGACTCAGCTACCAGTGACCAGTTCAGATGAGAAGTGGCACCGCCCCCTTCCCCCCCCCCCCCCCAGCTTAGGTTTACTTAAGAGGAGGAGCTGCAGCTCACACACTGTGTGTCCAAGGTTGCATGTTTGAATTTTTGATTCTTGACTAGAGTTTGCTTCTCTGCTGCTGAGACACAGGACCAATCAGAAGCTACTTGGGCAAGGAAAGTTTTGTTACAGTCCATCACCTAGGGGAGGCAAAGCAGGTACTGAAGCAGAGACTATGGAGAACAGCTGGTTTTGACTTGCTTCACCTGGCTTGCTCAGATACCTTTATTCTACAGCCTGGGGTCCCTTGTTCAGGAATGGTACCACCCACGGTGGGCTGTCAGCAACTAACAATCCAAGTGCAGCTTCCACGTGCCCTGTAAGCTACTCTGATGATGGAGGCAACTTCTCAGTTGAGGTTCCATCTCACCAACTGTTAGGTCTCAAACTTGAGACAGATGGCTAACTGAGGTACTCATTACCATTCCAAAGCAGACAGACGCTGGCCACCAGGTTCTCCCTGCAGCCTTCAGTCCCATACTTGTTACAGAGTATGGCTAGCATACCTCCCACACCCTAAATGTCATATAATCCAGCCATTTTGTTTACTTGGCCTTTTTGCTCTACCCTTTAACCTCTTGGTCCAGGCTGCCTTTCTTGGTCAGTGGCTTCTCTCTCCACCCCACTGTCCTCACATGGCCTAGCTAAGTCTGGCCATGTTCACTCTGAACTCTCCCGTGTCCTTAAACCTTCTCTATGTGCTTCCATTTCTTTTTTTTTTTCCATTTGCTAACCTGTATGGTAGTTGCTATTTTAAGACTCTTAGGGTTGTGTGCCTTGGTTTATTTTTTGAGATAGGGTTTACTTTGTAGTATTATTGGCCTGGTCCTGGCTACATATCCTAGGCTGACCTTAAACCTCTGATAATCTTTCTTCCTTGGCCTCCCAAGGACTGAGATAACCGTTGTAGGCTACCATGCTCATTTTCCTGTGTTTATTGAAAAAGGTATAGTTGAATTCTTAATAAAAGGAATCAATTGGCCAGGAATGGTGGTGTATACCTTTAAAACCAGCTCTTAGGATGCAGAGGCAGACAGAATCTGAGTTCAAGGCCTAGAAAATTTAGGCTAGGCAAGACTAAATAGCAAGACAATCTCAAAAAAGTGAAGCTGGGTTTACCAAACAGTAGATGCTAACTTCGTCTCTTCTTATTAGGCCACCAGGAAACCCTCCACGAAGAATGGGTCGGATCAGTCACCTTCGTGGCCCCAGCCCTCCTCCGATGGCTGGTGGATGAGGAAGGTAAGTTAAAATCTGAAATGATTTTGCCTCCTTGAGAATGTTTTGTTTAGAAAAATGGAAGCCATGTTTTTGGTGAGGGGCTTTTCAAGACTGGATTTTTCTCTTCATCCCTGAACCAGGTTGGCCTCAAACTTAAAATTTGCCTACCTATGCCTCCTGAGTACTGGGATTAAAAGTGTCTTCCACCTCCACCAACTGGCTTGTTTGTTTGTTTGTTTGTTTGTCTTTATGTGTATGAGTGTTTTGCTTACATGAATGTAAGTGTACTGTGTATGTTGAAGGGGCAGGGAAGAGACCAGAAGAGGGCACTGGATCTCCTGCAAGTGGCATTTTAAGATTTTATTTTTACTTATGTATATATGTATGTGTGTGTGTGCTTGTAAGCATGGGTATCCATGGAGGTCAGAAAAAGTCAAATCCTCCTGGAACTGTAGTTGCCAGCAGTGTGAGCTACCCAAGATGGGTGCTTAAAATCCAACTCTTGTCCACTGCAAGAGTAGGAAGTGCTCTTAGGTGCTGAGCCATCTCTTTAGAAGTTGCATATTTTATTATTTAGAGAGGTATATCTTAATTCTTGGAGGTTTGTTGACTTTATTATTAAAATATCAGTTGAGAAAAGATTTGTTTTACCTCCTTGGACCTCCTTGACTTCATGGCCAGGTCTCTTTACTGTTTCTACACCTCCGGAATTTGATACCAATATATGTACACATGCCAGGGATGGATGGATGGACGGACGGACGGAAGGATGGATGGATGGATGGAGAGGGGGAGGGAGAGGGGGGATCTCCAATTTAATAAGCAGGAGCTAATTGTGCTGACCTCTTTTAGGTAAACGTCTGCTCTGAGAAGCAGACGACTAGACATACACAGGCGTAGAGGAAGTCATCAGGAGGTGAAGAGCGGCTCACGCAGGAGAAGATGGTGTATGTCCAAACAAGGATTGCTCTGTGTCCTCACAGATGAATGAGGTCATGCTGGGAATTCCCTCTGCAGGATCTGGCCTGACTGATAATGCAGTTCTATAAATGTACATGTTTGTCTCCTTATCGTCTTTGTATGGTTTACTAAAGCAGTAATATAGTTTTCAGAAGTAAATATTTTTAGGTTGCAAAACTTGATTGTTCATCTTTATATGATTATACCCAAAATCTTCAATCTGGAAGAAATAAAGGCCATGTATTTAGTCCTGGGTTTTTTTTTGTTTGGTTGGTTTGGTTTGATTGGTTTTGGTTTTGTCCGGCTTTTCCGAGCCATTGCCCCCTTCTCCAGTGTATGTAGTGCTGTTAATGTTGCCTTTCCTCAGCTCTGAAATCTCCTCACTGTTACTTTGGTCTCATTTATAAATAAACCACAACGTAATTATTTCAGTATATGTAAATTTGCTTTTGAATTTTTAATCTTTAATATACTTATTTTGTAAATGTATCGTGTCTGATTTACTACCAGATAACATCGTCAGGATATTTATAAGGCTACAGTCATCAAAATCGAGCTTCAAATGATGCTGGCCAGTCTTGAAAACCATGGACTTCACTGCTATCTTGACACAGGAATCTGATCCCATTGCTTATTTATCTAGCCTTCCAGCTTACTTTGCGATCTGTCTGGATGTTCCTTTCATGTTCCCCCTCCCTCTACTCTTTCCACCCATTTTTGACATTCATAGTTGGCCTCTTTATTGCTGTCACAACGACTGGTTATATACTGGTCTACAAAGCAAGTTCCAAGACAGCCAGAGCATCACAGAGAAACCCTGTCTCAGAATAAAATTAAACAAATCCGTATTTAATTTTGTAATGCTTTGTATAAATCTTAAGTACAGGTATTAAATGGGTAAAGCCATAAAATTCAAAAACGTTATTCATGAAATGTGTCAAGAAGAGACTTAGTCCCAGAGAACCCAATCAGAGGCCAGACTGGGCAGGACCAATCAACTGTGAAAACTAGCAATATTACAGAACCTGTGAGTGAAGAACTGCTGAGCCAAATGAGATTGATTAACCTCAGACTCACATGGCGCACTCAAATTTTATTAGGGTTAAGTAAGGTAGCATATAGGAAGTTTCAGACTAGCCAGGGCTAAGTAGTGATAACTTGCCTAAAATAAACTTAATTAACCAGTTAATTAACTGTATTACACTGAGGATGTAGCTCATTGGTAATAGAAACATGCTCACCATTCATAGGTACCTGGGTTCAGTTCCCCATCATCACCAAAACGAAAAAGGAAAAAAGAAACTCAAACCCTGTCACGCCCTCGTTCCCAGAATTCTCTAGGGGCGACGCCGGCGGCGGCCATCTTGACTGTGGGCAACCGGGGGACGCTGCGCCTGCTCGCTGGTTCCCCTCTGCTTGCTGTGGCGTCGGTGTTTCTGAGCCCCGCGGCTAGTGGTGGTCGGCGGTGACAGAGATGACCCAAGCCGAGAAGGGGGACACGGAGAACGGGAAGGAGAAGGGCGGGGAGAAGGAGAAGGAGCAGCGCGGCGTGAAGCGGCCCATCGTGCCCGCATTGGTCCCCGAGTCGCTGCAGGAGGTGAGGTGCCGGGAGCTGGCTTTGGTTAGACCAGGGCTAGCCTGGGCCTCTGCTGCTGCCGGGGGGCCCAGGGGCTGGGCGTAGCCGGAAGCGTTCGGGTCCCCTCCCCTGAACGCCAGCCTAGGTTCCTTGAGCGAAATAGCGCGGTGCAGGATAAAACCAAGTCCGCGGTACGCAGCCTTCTGGTCTCAGCTGTAAGACGTCACGATTTAGCAACAGCCTGCCTCTTAGGGACGCCAGCAGATACTTGTTCAGGGATGGTTAGAGCTTTAGCCCGTTCCTTTGTTTGCAAATCTCACAGTGCAAATCATTTCACGTTTAAAAGCAGGGGAAAAGTAGCCTTTCCTTAAATAGACATGAAGAGTCTGTATGTCAATAACAGAACAAGTTTAAGTTAAAAAAAAAATAGAGTAGTGTGTCTCACACTCTCACTAGCCAGGGCTTACTAAGATCTAAGTAAAGGAAATACATTCCTATAGGGAACCCCACGGCAGTGCACAGCTCCCAGAAGAAATAGGGAGAGATTGGTTGTTCAGGATTTCCCGTGGACCATTTCAGAACCTTCTTCCTCTCCCATAGGTGGGCTAAATGAGCTAACTGGTAGGGCTGCTGTAAAATGCATAGTGTGGTGTGGGCTAGGCTACTTTGGAGGATCCACAATGTATCTCTTCCAGCCTTGATGGAGGAGGGCAGAGGCAGGGGGGGGGGCTAGAGATTTAGAGCGAGGAGAGAATGATTTCGAGCTATGCAAGGGTTCTCAGCATTTCTCAGCCTGTGGGTCGCAAGCCCTTTAGGGGCTGCATATCAGATATTTACATTATGATTCATAACAGCAAAATGACAGTTATGAAGTAGCAACAGAATAATTTTATGGTTGGGGGTCACTACAACATGAGGAACTGTATTAAAGGGTTGGAGCATTAGGGAGGTTCTGGGGAAGAGACCTGCCTGAGAATCTTGGGTCTGGAGAGGATGTAAAGGATTGGAGACATGGCTGTTTAGAATTGAGAAAGACTGTAGAGTTTTTCAGTGTGCACAAGCTCACAGCCTAGTCTCTTCATTGAAGGAGATGGAGAATTTTGGAATGGGATGCTGACCCCATGGTGTTGTGGGACATCATTTTCAGTTGCAGAGTTTACATCTGAGAGCCACTCAGTTGTGTTACCAATAAAAAGCTCCCCCCGCCCAGATCTTACTGTTTTAAGCACGTTTAAGTTTACAATTTTATGTTGGGTTTCAGATTGGACAGTTAGCATTCTCTGAGGCCACCAGTTCTACATCCAAGCTACACAGTTAACTCGGCATCCTCACAAGGACTTGATGAGGTGGGAACTTCATCAGAGCAAGGGGCAGGCTGAATTTATAGCATATCTTCTGGTCCCTTTTCTACGCCCCAGTGAGTTTGTCACATGCTTTGACTATCTCATACCCTCTGTGGCACTTGTACTTCGTGGACTTTCCTCAGTCTTGGGTTAAGTAATGAATAATTCCCAGGAAATGATGAGTGGAACATATTGCTAGGTCTCTTTCCTAACATTAAAATACATAAGTACTAAAAATAGTAATTGTTCATACATAACTGCATTTTCTACATTTTCTTAATCCACACACTGCAGCCCGTGGGTCTTTGATAAAGTCCAGGTGTTCCTGATGGGTAGCAGCCTTATGTGTTTTCCCCAGTCCATTGGCAGATGTCCTCCATGGCACAGTGACACCATGTACTGAGACAGGGTAGAAGACAAGACAGATGGGCCCTCTTCACTAGGGTTTGTTGTATGTCATGGAAAGGAGGAAGGCTATAAGATCATATATTATGAGGGGACCACCAGACTTACTCTGGGTAATTCACTCCTGAAGGGAGGAGTTAGAAGGAACTCAGAGAAGGAACATTGCCAGCTGAGGGAGTTGCGTTGCTGAAGGCTCCAGAGCCGTTGAGTTTTGTAATCAACAGAAGTTTGGATTTGAAGCTGGGCAGAGTGGCACATGCCTGTAAACCAGAACTTGGGGCCTGGGTTGAGTAGGTTAGGTAGACTGAAAGGACAACCATTCTAGAGTTAGGCAAGGGTTTGATGGAACAGGTTTGAGCATCTGTATTTGTGAGCCACAAGTATATTGTGAAAGAAACTGTGCAGCCAGGGCAGGGTAAAGGTACCAAGGAATTGGGCCGAGACTGTGGTTCTCAATAAATAGCTTTGTTTTCTTTCTTTTTAATAGAAGCTCTTTTAAAAAAAGAATCATTCTAAAAAAATTATGTGCCTGGGTGGTGGTGGTGGTGGTGGTGGTGGTGGTGGTGGTGGTGGTGGTGGTTGGGTGCACATGTTAGTGCAGTACCTGTGGATCCCAGAAGAGGGCATCAGATTCGTGAAGTTGGAGTAAGTGGTAGTGACCTGCCTGACATCCGTGCTGGGAACTGGTTCACTGCAAGAGCAGTACTCTTAACTCCTGAGCCATCTGCCCATTCCAGATTC